TGGTAAGTTCGGACTAAGGTACTTCGAATTCAGCTACGTTATTAACGTAGCTGAATTTGCGTACCTTAGTCCGAAGTGGGGGCTTAGTGGGGACCAGGCCTAAGTATAAATTTATTTATTCATCTCAATAGGATATTAAATGTGAAGCTTAACATGATAATCTAAAAGCTAGCATAGTTAAACTTCCATTTAATACAGTGGTCCTCTGTACTTCAATACACCATGCAATCCCATTAGCTGAAAGTGAATTATGTTTCCTGAGAGTTGTTCTAGTGTTATCTAACTGCACTTAGTGTTCCCCAAAAAGTTTATAATGCAGCCTCACTGCTGGAAGCAGCCAGTTGGATATCTGTTTCACATTGCTTCAGATACCCCAGTCCCAGAGCAAAGCATCACCAACTGACGGATGGGGCTGTGAGGGCCCTCAGTCTTTCCAAGGTTTTAGTTTTCCCGAGAGACCTGTGGATAATTGGGTTGCACTGTACCTGTGGTGTTCTGATGTTTTCATTAGAATGGACACTAGGAGTAAAGTAACAAGTCCTGAACAGGGAAGTAATGGACTACTCTGCTGTTGGACATACCTTAAGTTGATCAAGATGATTGCTTTACAGTTCTGCCCGCTGAAAAATCTTAGACCAGCACAGTAAGACTTGCAGGAGTTTGTGGTATTGTATGTCTTCTGGGAAACTAGCTCAGTACAGTAAAGGCAGGCATCTTTTAAAAAGCCAACTTCCTTTTAAAACCTGGAGAATAGAGAAGTTGGAGAAATTGATCAAATTAATATAATATGCCCTCATCTCCATTGCCCTTCCTCTTGTTAGATTTGTGAAGATTTGACATTATGTCAAGGGACTTTCTCCACAGACTTCTATTGTCTCTGGTTACAACTCATATTTTCTGTATTCCTACAAACAGAACAGGTAGCTTAATCTTTATTTTTCTTAATCTAGGTATATGGCTGGGGTTACAATGGCAATGGTCAGCTAGGTCTGGGAAACAATGGTAATCAACTCACACCTTGTAGAGTGGCAGCATTACATGGTGTATGTGTACTTCAGGTAAGTCCAAAGTAGAAGTAAACAGTGCATTAATATTGTATACGTTTTCAAAAATTTCACCCAATCTGAGTCATAAGCATGTTTCTAAATTCAGGATTTTAGTGTTCTAGTTCTTGTAAAATCTATTAAAACCTAAAGATTGTGGACAATCTTTGTAATGCTTGCTTTTGTATAACCTTGTGAATGTGTCAAAATGCTTCATTGCTGAATAACGTAAATAAACTATGCATACAATGTCATGCAGGTACCATCTCTGTATATTGTGGGGCATGATGAAGTGAGGTATAGAGGGCAAGCTTGTAAGGAATGATCAAGAACAGGGAAACTAAGAGGTTCAAAGGATTTGTCTTAATATCCTATCTAGACAGTGGGTTAGGAGTGAAAGGCTAGCGAGAAGTGTCTTACGGTGAAAGCATAGGGCTAGGATTCAAGAGATCTGGGTTCTAGTTAGGACTGTCAGACTTGTATAACTTAGGGTAAGTGATTGTGTGACCCACCCAATTTTTTTCTCCACCTCTACAATAGATAAACCCCCCCTTACAGGGCTGTTCAAGCCTCAGTTCATTAGTTTGTAAAGCACTTTGAGATCTTGGGATTAAAAGTTGTATGTAGTTGTCTCGTGTGAAAGATTTAACTGTGTCCTGGAGGAATTACTGAAGTTTGTAATTCAGAGGTCAGAGAGACTGCAAGGGGATTATACAAAGTAGTCCAAGGTTAGAAACCTAAGACAAATTGTTTAGCTATTGTGGACAAAGAATGTTACTAGATTTTTTTTTTTTTATAATTCTATTTATTAAATGAAGAATTGCAGCAAACAGGGAAGAATAACCAATGAACACTAAATTACCAGTGCTTGAGGTTGTCTAGTACTTATTGCTAATGTATTTCATGTTAGCTTGAAGTATCAGGAAATAGCAGTTTCTGGTCCTAAATGGAGAATGATGGAGGTATTGAACGGACTTCAGACAGATTAATGTAATGAGTGTAATAATTTGTCTTCCATTTGTTTCTGTTTAGTAGTAATCTTTGTAAATTTATTTACAGATTACCTGTGGCTATGCGCACACACTAGCACTAACAGATGAGGGTTTGCTCTATTCCTGGGGAGCTAACACTTATGGGCAGCTGGGAACTGGCAATAAAAGTAACCAGCTAAGCCCGGCGCAGATCATGATGGAAAAGGAAAGGTAATGTTGCTGCAGCTAACACATTTTTAGATTGGGTTGTGGGAGCATGCATTATGGAGTCTGTAGCTCTAGAAAGGTGTGTCTTGCTTTATGGATACTTCTTCCTGTTGTTTGTTAATCTTGTACTATACCATACTCTTATCCTACCTTTTTTCCTCTAAATTCTAGACAGGGTATTTGTGGTGGCTCCTATGCTAACGTTCGAAACTATGTATATTCTATACATATCTGGTGCAGAGATGTAACGGACAAGGAGGCCAAATGTTAATTTCAACAAGCCATTCCACTGATGACCTCTTTAATCAAAACATTTGGATTATATGTGCCAAGTTGTTATACTATATTGATGCCTATATTTGAAGAAGAAAAAAAAGCCTGGTATGTGATGATTCACTAGGAAAGTCAGCTGTCTGAGATTCTATAGTCAAAAGCCAACAATGTGTTTTGTAAGTTCCTCTTAACTCTGAAACACTTGGACTTCTATGTCAATTTTTAATAAGTGACTTGCTCTCATTCTACCTAGTTCTGTTTGTGTAGTTATCTAATGGGCAAACAGTCTGCTTCTGGCTGCCTTTTCTTTATACAGCTAAATTTTCCATTTGGGAAACCAAGGCCATTCGTAAGATGTCTTTGCATCTTTATAAAAGTGAGGTGACAAAGCTTTTCAGTAGTGAGCCTGCTAAAAGTTCAACAAAACTAAAGATGGTAGAAAATAGTGTGTTTTTTGTGAAGGACTTCTTGAAGTGATAAAGAATCAGAAACGAAATTGGATGATGGAGAACACTGGTGGAAGGAAAGATAATACAGAATAGGGTTTTATTTTCTCTTAAATAATCGTTCAAGTGAGGTGCATGCAGAACTTAAATTCAGAACTGATCATGTCTTCAGGCTTTTTTTTTTAAGTCTTCATTTCAGAAATATGAAGTGGATAATGCTTTGCTAATGATAAAATTGAAAAAATGTTCCAGAAAAAGCAATTTGTGGTGCTAAATTTCGATGAATCTACCCTCCCCTACTGAACTTATTTGACTAGTCTTTCTTGGAGTCAGTGCCTATGTGACAGCGTTTTCTGGTGGGATACATTTTAATTCTTGCTGCTCCTGTTGTCTATACATACTACCCAATCTGCCATCTATGTTAAATGCTACTAATAGAGGCTACAAGCAGATCCTGTTGAAGCGGAGTGCCATGCTGTCCCAAGGAATAAGTATGGTGTATCATTAAATTTGAGTTTTACATTCAGGGTGAAGCCTAATAGCTTAAAAGGAAATCTGAGTTAACCCCTGGAGATGCAACCTTGAAGGAAAGAATTTGAGTGCAGATGTCCAGCAGGTAAAGGACCTCTATTTATCAAAGAAAGAAAAGGTCATGTGCTTGGTGCTCTACAAGACACATGCCACCTTTGACCACAGGAGCTTACATTCTAGAACAGAGCAGAGATAAGGCAAGTCAAAAAATAGGGTAGTGTCAGTGTTGGTGGAGTCCAGTTGGGGAAACACGGGTAATTGAGGGCACAGTGGAGTCGTGCATGGATCTGAAGGCAAGGAGTGGTTGTGGCCTCAGAAGGAGAGGAAGAGTTATTAACAGAACTTTATTTTTAATGATTTTAATGTTGAGAGAGTTTGCTGTTGCTGGCTGGGATGGGCAGTCTTGGTAGAGGTGAGGTTATAGTAGTGGTATTGTGGGGGGTGAATTGAGAGTAGTAATTCCTGAGTGAGAAGAGGCAGCGTGCTAAATTGCTGGAGTTACCAGCTGTGGATCCTGTGGGATGCTCCAAAATCTTGTTGTCTGATGGGTCTTAATACTATTTTAAAGTGAAACAATGATTGTGTGTAAAATACTTAACTTGTTTTCTTTGTATATTAGGATTTACTCAATGCTTAATTTGTGTCAGGGCTGAGTCCTGGCCCCTCTGCGCTTGGCAGTTCATAGCCCCGGCCCCTCTGGGCTTGCTTCATCAGTTATGAATGTAAAAAATATTGCTGGAGCACGAGCACCACTTTCATTACAAATTTAAACACTGGATTTACCAATGAAAGTATCAAATTTCAGGATATACCACCTGATACTCTATGCTGAAAGACAATTTTTGATCTATAATCTGATATTTGTGCTACTCCTAGATTGTCATATTGGGATACTGACTTTCGATATACAGAAGAAAAACTGCCAGGAAATATGATAAATTAGGTTTTATTGGAAGTTTTTTGTCTGATGTTCTCCACTGACTTTTTTTTTTTTAATGTGGACAAAACCTGAAACCCTGGCATGCATATTTTTAGCATGGGAAAACAAGAAGACCCAGTTTACTTTAAAACTAACTCTAGAACTTCCCTCCCAATTTTTCATTTCTGTGGCATTGTTCACCAGCTGAACAGAGATTCTGGATACATCCTTGCAATTCTTTTAATGGGAATGTGATTCTTCTCTGTTTGTATATAATCACTTCAGATAACAGTTTAGGGATTATTTGAGTAAATGGAGAACAGAATAGGTAAGTGTACAGCAGCAGCTGCAGTTCTTTAAAACACTGTGGACATTAGTTTTTTAAAAAACTGCAAAACAATAGGTTTTTTTTAAAGAATGTGATTATTGAATAATGTGAATATTTAAAATGATGATCTTGTCAATTTATTTTCCAAACAGGCTTTAAACACTGGGGGGGGGGGACGGGGACTAAATACAACACGTGAGGCCAAAAATAAAGGCATGTTTTACAGCAGGCTATATCTCTGTCTAAATATCAGAGCCCATCCAAAGAGGGACTGGGAGATTCTTTAGTGAAGTATTTTAAGTGCTTGTTTCAAAAGGCATTTTCACTGCACTGGTACTAATAATTTAAAATGAGAGAACTATCTCATAAAAGTGCTGTTTGAAGACAAGGCCTGGAACATGCACCATTAATTTGGGAATAGCTTTCCAGGCTACTTCTCAAATCTTGTTTTGTTACAAAATATAGATGTACTAATTTCTTCATGCTTATCCTTAGGCTTTGCTTACGTGTATTGCAATATCTGGTGATGTCCCTTTGTTTTAGAAATCTCTGCCTGTTAAGTGCCTATTGTGGGTGAGGTATGAAGAATGTTGGTTGAAAGACTTGTGAATATCATTTTCTGTAAATGTCATTGTAATCTGATATTGTATTGTCTTATATCTCTGTAATTTAATACTGAATCTGATTATGTGAAGGTTGTTCAGTTCGAATCGATACCCAGTCAAAAGAAAATACAGGGCTACAGATAGCATATTCTCTACTTTTCCCACTAATATAATTAAATTGTCTTTAATTTTATGCTTCTGTGATTTTAAATATATGTTGTAAACAAACTCCTGCATTTTCTTTTGATTTTTTTCTATTCACAGGGTGGTAGAGATTGCAGCCTGCCACTCTTCTCACACTTCTGCTGCCAAGACCCAAGGTGGCCAGGTGTATATGTGGGGCCAGTGCCGTGGCCAGTCTGTTGTTCTTCCTCACCTCACTCACTTCACTTGCACTGATGATGTGTTTGCTTGCTTTTCTACTCCTGCTGTGATGTGGCGCCTCCTCTCCGTAGGTGAGAGCAAACTGGGACATGTTATGCAGTGCTACAGCCAAAAAATCTAATGCTTGTATGGAACAGATTTCCCATTTAATTATAAATATTTGCACCTTCAGAAAATGTGCTTTCTTATTAGAATCTGTATATTATAGTGGGGTGGGAGCTCTGCGATAGCTAAGGGTGAAAGCAACTTACTGTTTAGCAATCAATGTTTAAGTGCTCTAAAATTCACATCATGTGCACTTGCCATTGTCATGTACACTATTGGACTGCTGGAAATCCACCATGGGAAAAATAGAATAGACCACTGTGCTTCTCTGCTTGCATGACTCACAACTCAGCATAGAAGTGAAGGGTCTGTGTTGCCTTTGGTTGCAGATGCACTTCTCATATCACACCATGAGCAGTGGCAATTTGCTGACAGTAATCCCTGCACCAGTCAGCATAGCTGTCACTAACACAGTGGCAGGCAGTTGGAGCACACTCAAATAAATAAAAGAGTAGTATTGTGGGGCACAGCACACCACATGAAATGACACTCTTACTTAATCTTCCTTCATGCCTTCTTATTGTAGGGCAGCCTTGGCTGAAACATACTTGCAATATATTCCAAGGGGCTCTTGCCAGTTCACGTGGGGTGGGCAGAATTAAGGTTGCTAAGCTCATAGTTAGGTTTCCTGCAATGCCACAAATCTCTGAAAGCTTGTGCTACTACTGACTATTGTACATTTTTATAGGTAAATGGAGGACTTCAATCCCCAGTGCTATTAATCAAGCATCTTTCACAAATGCTAACATAAGTTTTTTGGGGTTGTTTTAAAAAGTAAATCTGAGGTTTTTTTGTTTTTTGTTTTTTTTAATAATTATTATAATTATTTTTTTTAGAGAGCAATGTCAGCTTGGGCACCACAAGTTCATAATACACGAGGACACTTTTTTCATAGCTGGGTCTGATGTACTACATTTCCTCGCAGGAAGGTTAATCTACATTTTCCAGACCTGCATAGGATCTGTCCAAATGCTGAGGAAACTCAGTTTGGGAGTTTGCTCAAGTGGGTAATTTTAATAGTTTTCCGGTTTGAATAGTTTCCTTGGTAGCAGTTGCAAGGCTGTTGTACCAGCCTCACTTTTCATGACATGCTTATCAGATGTTATGCTCTCATAATTGGCTCATAAAATGAGTGCTGACAACACTGAACCCCAGTCAGGACTACCAACATAGATCTGCCAGACATTTACTTCCTAAACATCGCGTAGTTACCCAGTGACCATCTTTTCTTGACTCGCCTGTTTAATTAAGCCACTCTGCATATGTATGTATGTATGTATGTATTAGACAGAATGTATTTGGTTTTCAAAACCTTTGGTTTTTTTAGAGCATGAAGACTCCTTAACAGTAGCTGAGTCTCTGAAGAAAGAGTTTGACAGTCCAGAAACCTCAGACCTAAAATTCCGCGTAGATGGAAAATACATCCATGTTCATAAAGCTGTTCTAAAGATCAGGTAGTGTTCATGTTTCATGGCTTCTTGGTCAGCAATCCCTCTACTGCATAGAGAGCAACCCGTTAACTTGTCCTCTCAGAGAGAGCCATCTGCAGTGCTGTCAAAAGCGAAGGTGTAGTTAGACTTTTTAAGACTGTTCACTATTATTGAAATTGTTTAAGCTTGTATTTTGGACTGCTGGGAAGGATGAGGGTGACACAAGAAGATCTTTAGAAATGAGGGGATTTGTCTGAATTAGTGTTTTGATGTCTTTTTATTTTTCATGGGCCAGTAGCTGTCCTGGAAATTTCTCAGGTAATATAACCACATAGTTAACCAGATCTTTTAAAAACAAAGATAAGTAACTAAATAGTTAATTGCACTGGCTGAATACACATGAAGGAGACATGCTGTTTTTACATTTTATTTCTCTAAGTGTAACTTACTAGAATGAGATTATTAAATACTAAATTTGAGAAGGGGCTGAACCGAAATACCAGTTCTTAACACTTTCACTCTATGCATCCGAAGAAGTGAGGTTTTTACTCACGAAAGCTTATGCCCAAATGAATCTGTTAGTCTTTAAGGTGCCACGAGACTCCTTGTTGTTTTTGTAGATACAGTCTAACACGGCTACCCCCCTGATACTTGACATTTTCTGAGTGTGGATCAATATCCAGATGTCACAGCAGGGGCCTATTTCTTTATTTAAAAAATTATTAAAGCCCTTTTTTAAATTCCATGTGTACAAAACTAAATTCTTTTTTTCAAATTCTTATCTGTTGTATCACACACAAAATAATTGCTTTATTCTCGATGCACAAATATTACTTGCATTTGTTGTACCCCAGTATTGAGAAGAGAACATACCCTTTTGGTATTTAATGACATTTATATTTAGAGATCTTAATTTATTGTAGAGAAAATGAAGGGAAGCTTTATTTCAAATGGTCTCTAATATAGTATACATGTATCCTATCACGTTATGCCAGATAAATGTTCTGCCTTCCTGTTCTAGATGTGAACACTTCAGAACCATGTTCCAGTCATATTGGAATGAGGACATGAAGGAGGTGATAGAAATAGACCAATTTTCTTACCCAGTGTATCGTGCCTTTCTTGAGTACCTATATACAGACAGCGTTGATCTGCCACCTGAAGATGCTATAGGTAGCACAGTCTTCTTTGGCCAAATTACATGATAAATCCAGAGACTTGATAAATGGACGAAAAAGTGGGGGAATAAATGGTGCATGTATGGTCCTAAGACCAACATATGATCAGTTTCATGGTGATTACATTTAAAGCACAACTAAAGTAAACTCTGTTAACAACTTGCTACAGAAATAGTGCTGTGTAACTCTGAATAAATTGAGCAGCAAATATCGGAGAGTAAAAGGTAGAGGAGGTGTTTAAATTACTCTTCTGAAATAAGCATTCGTACCTTTTGCTAAATTGAATCAATTATGCTTTGAAATGACTTCAAGAAAAAAATTTAGTCCCTATAATGGGGTAATTTTTACCCAGCACAGCGGACAAGCTCTGAGTTAAATTCTAGCTTTGATAGCAACAGTTGTGCACTTGGTACTTTCCCTGTTCTGTAACCATGTACTTAACTTTTATGCACATGTGTAGTCCTGTTGCTGTCAGTGGAACCACTTGTGCTTAGGGATAAGCTCCTGTGTAAGTGTTAGCAGGATGGGGCTTAAAGTAGTGAAAAGGCCTCTCTCTTCTTGAATGTCAGTAAAGCTGATTTTCTGAATAACACCCAATGGAATTGATATATGGTGTTGTGTGTTGGGGAATGTCTGTGCTGCAGCTGGGAGTGTGCTTCCCAGCCTGAGGAGGTACAGACATGCACCAGCTCCACTCAAGCGTGGACTCTAAGAATAGCAGTATTGACGTTGTGGCCCGGACGGCAACTTGGGCTTGCTCAACCCCTTGGTCCTCATGTGAGTGATTAGCCTGATTCACCACCCACTCCGCAATGTCCACGCTGCTATTTTTAGTGTGCCACTTCAAGCACAGCTAGCACGTGTCTGCCCAGGCTGGGAGGTAGGCTCTCAGTAGTATAGATATACCATACTTCACACAGAGAATGAAGACAGTTTGGAGCGTGCCTTGATACTGTAAAAGCAGAGATTGAAAGTGGCTAATATAATGGCATTTTAATTTCAGGACTTCTGGATTTGGCTACATCTTATTGTGAAAACAGATTGAAAAAACTGTGTCAACACATTATCAAGAGAGGAATTACTGTGGAAAATGCATTTTCATTGCTCTCTGCTGCAGTGAGATATGATGCAGAGGTAAACTTCTAAAGATTAAACTCACTAAATAGACTACCTCTTTTTGACCAGAACCATGGAGCATAGCACACAGCTTTTTATCTCCATTTTGATTGAGGGAAAATTGCTCGTTGCATTGAGAATTTGAGCAGTAGGGTTCTGGTGCTGTTCCTTGGACTCTGTAGTCATTCTGTTCAGAGCAAAAGCCATATCTTTGTATTAAACTTGTAGTAGACAAATTAACTAGCACTTTATATAAAAAAAAGACTTATTTTAATCAAGCCACTGCATGAAGCACAATATAAATAACTTTCATATTGTCTAGTTCATGGTAGCCATTTTGTGCTGTTTTGCCTAGCTTCATAATGCATCGCTCCATGTTATCTGGAAAAAAATTCCGTGCTGAAAACTTTCTATCTAGAGGCTGAAAATATTACTTTGCAAATAAAGGGCAGGCTTTAAAAAGAAAGCTAAACCTGGAGATTCTAAAAGTTCTGCCGATTGGTTTTATAACACTAATCTTTGCTTAATACGTTTAAATATGTACACAGTACAAGTTGCAGCTTTTTAAATCCTCTTCATGTGTTTGGGATTTTTCTTGTAATATTATTGATGGCAGGGTACTGACAGCTGCGTCTGAACTTTCGTTAACAAAGTTGTTTGGAAGTAGGTGACATAATAGGCACCAGATGGACCTATTTGCTCCCTCTTGTTTTACGCTTGGATACAGACATAGACATCAGCATTTTGGTGCCATGAAAACTTCCATTATCTTGTACACAGGGTAGATTGATTTAAATCAAAGCAATTTTAATCACCAGTTTAAATCAGCAAGCAGGAAACTTTGATTAAATCATTGATTTTAATCTTGTTTTGCATTTGTACTTTTATTTCCTAAAAAAAAATTGAGTCTCACTGGTTGGTAACTATTAAATGTTGATTTGCAACTAAATATAGCCTTTACACTAAATGTGGTGGTACTTTTATCCACATTTATTTAAGAAACTATGTAGCTTAAAATAACTGTATTCTGTCTTAATTTTTGCATTTTTATTAAGTTAGTAAATGGTGAATGATGCTTTATGTATTTAGTAGATTTTTTTACTCAACAGATTAAATTTTTTTAGTCGTGATTTGTGTCAAGCTGCATTTGGTTGGAAGTGGGAATGCAATTAAAAATGCACAAAAACTGTAATTTAAAATTGCTTTTCATTAGTTAAATGAAACTACCTTAAATGTGCTAGATGCGTAAGAAAAAATAAGTTTCTATCAATACCTGTTTTGCATTTAAAACATTGATTTATTCAACAAAGGAAGTATTATCTGTAGTTAGTAAAATAAACTGTTCTTCTGGTGACCATCTCCATCAAGATTTTAGAATTAGTAGAACTCATCCTCTCACCTGGTTTTTATTCTTCTGGCATGTGGCTTCTGAGGGCACAAACAATGAATTAGATGTTGAGTAAGTGGTGGAGCCATTCTCATGGCATTTCTTATTCGTAGATTGGAAAAGGGAAAACAGTATTTCCTGCTTTTTCTCCAACTCCCAATCAGTGTCTCAGTTTTGAAATAACTAGGCATTGAGCTGAAGAAGTTGAACAAACTAAAATGAAGAAAAATGTCCTCTGTACCTGTAATTCTCTACAGCTGTCAAAGCTGGTTTAGCGCTTCAACAAACTGCTTATAGATTGTTTAGCCAGTGATTTCTACCAGCTCACTGGTTTGGCTTTCTTTAAAACTTTGGCAGCAAACATGTACTGCTTTAATATTTGTATTCAATTTACAATCATTTTAACAGACTATATTAAGCTTAGGCTTTTAATATAGCTTGTCATAACTTTATATATAATTTTAATTTTAAATACACTTTTTTCTTTTTAAAAATAAGCCTATTTAATTTAAATCTGGTTTAAATTAAAAATAGTTATCTTGACTTCTTTATTTTTATCCTCACTGAATTTAAATTGCATTTTCCTTTTATGTGGGAGCCAGAGACTACAATTCTGGGAATAGAAGACAATTGTGTCTGGGTATTCAGGCATCAAACATTGTACACATCTAGAATGATATATCCAAATTCTTTAATTACTGAACTGATAATGGAAATAAGTTTATTTCATTATATTTAACTTAACAATAAAAATCAGATTACAATCAAAGTAGAATACCTTAAGTGTAATATCTGTTCCTACAATGGAATAAAATGGCAGGAAGTAAAGCTCATCATGGAGCTAGCTAACTGAACTCTGAAGTCAGACAAATGGTATATGAAGGGGAGATGCAAATGACATTTTTCGCATTATGAAGTAATATTTAACTATTTTGCTGTTTAATCAGATCAGCTGGCAGACTCCTCTCCTAGGGTCTGCAGGTCCTGAAGGTATTTACTTCTCGATTTCCTTTGGCATTTTTTACTCAGACTAGCTTTTGTTACTAAATATGCGACTCTGCTGCAGCTAGATACTTTTCTATAGGCTGTTCACTCTTACGAAAGATTGTGTTGCTTCATAGATCACACATCATGTGCTTTGTAGCGACCAAAATGCGCATACATATACATGTGCAGTTGTGCTTACCTCGAAGCTTAACTTCATCTGTTAAAGGAATTGCAGTTATCTCAACCCTTTTTTGTTTTGGAGATAACAGACACAATACAAAGCTTTTTATTTGAAATGGCAGGTTATCGATTTTAATTTCACAAAGCCAGGTGTGACATCCATGGATGTGGTTTGGGAGGTGGAGGTGAAATAGTCCTGCAGAATGCGTTTCCCGTGTGCCTTCATGATTCTCCCTTTTAAAGAGTGAGAAAAGAAACAGTTACTCCGCTGCAGGATGTACATTCTGCCTTTTGCTGATTGAGCTTTGTGTACAGTCTGCCTTACTGATTGCCAGGTGTAAAAGCTAAACCAAAGCAAAATGGAAGGCTCTGCACTGTGGTTCTGAGCTTCTCTTGGGCATCTACAACATTCAGAAGACTGACTTTAAGTGTCTCTAGAATCTATAATTACATACGCAGTAAGCTAAATGGCAAGTTCAGATGACTTTAGTAATGTAGTTAGTTCATGGGATGTTCTTTCTCTAGAAAGCTTCAGTTACAACTGCATCATCTATTTAAAATACGTCCATATCATGAAATTGTCTACTTTTCCAGTACTGAGATGCAGTATGTTTCTCTGGGATTAATGACTGGCTGAATTGTAATGGCCAGCGTTACACTGTAGGTCCAGTTTCTCCCTGCAGCTAACTAATCACTGAAAGTATCTTGTGCCTCTATCATTTATCACTATATGCACTGAGGTTTTACTTTGTGATCCAGTGTGCAAATATGACTTATCTAATTCTTCTGCAGAATTCTAAACTTTCCAAAGTGTCTTCCTGTAATGATAATACTGCTTGTATTTTTGTTACTCTGACTTGGAGCATGGGAATCTTATTAATAAAGTACTGTAATACAGTAAATGTGTACGTGATGTAGTTTTATTTAAAATCGGTTTAGTCCATTTGTTATAAAAATTCACAGCTATGTTCGGCCTTTCATAAACCTGTTACTTATTACATAGACGCAACACAAACCAAAACATGCATGCAGCTCCAGAGATCCTGATCTTAAACCAGGGCATTTTCTGTATTGCTGTGTCAAGAATGGTTGACTTGGTGTCAGTGAGCTTACTTTCCATCCTGGCCGAAAGTGCAGAAATGCAAATATGGCTTTACCTAATCACACTTGCAAGTGGCTTGTAAGTGGCTTGATTGTCTTTAAAACTATTGTATATTCTGTAGGCTGGATATTGAAGTACGACTAGACTAGATGGGGTCTGTCACATTAACATTCTACTCCATGGGGAGGCGGGATGGAAGGGGAGATACTTAAATAGGATGCAGTAGTCCTTACTATAACAGATTGTCCGAACCTAGAATTGTAGCATGAAAGAGAAGATTCCTCTCTAAATGGAACAGTTGGCTACTTTAATCATCTGATCATCTGACAACATCTGGGGTTTATGGCTGACTTTGCTGTGGGCTGCAGAATTAGTAACTCTGTGTAATATTAATACCATCTGGGTGCAGTGTGAGAATTGTTTGAGGCACTTTTTGATCTTCAGATGGAAGGCATTCTATAAACATTTAGGCTGTGGGTCAGACTTTAGTGTGATGTAGAATTAAAGTATGGGACTTGGGCTACCTTGTGCCCAATACATTCCTGCTAAATATTTCCATGAGAAACAAATAGAGCCATTTCAGTACTGGTTTATTCCTAGTGGACATAAAGGCATCCTGCATGAACTTTATAGATTTCTTTAAAGACATCTTCATCTAAATCGGGGTGGCCAACCTGAGCCTGAGAAGGAGCCAGAATTTACCAATGTACATTGCCGAAGTGCCACAATAATACGTCAGCAGCCCCACATCAGCTCCCGCTCCCAGCGCCTCCCACCCACCGGCAGCCCTGCCAATCAGCGCCGCCCCCTCCCTTCCCGCACCTCCCAATCAGCTGTTTTGTGGAGTGCAGCAGGCTCTGGGAGGGGAGGAGGGAGAAGCGAGGGCACTGCAGGCTCGGGGGGGGGGTGGGGGTGGAGTGGGGGCAGGGCCTGTGGCAGAGCCAGGGGTTGAGCAGTGAGCCCCCCCCCAGGCACATTGGAACGTTGGCACCGGTAGCTCCAGCCCCGGAGTCAGTGTCTATACAAGGAGCCGCATATTAACTTCTGAAGAGCTGCATGTGGCTTCGGAGCCACAGCTTGGCCACCCCTGATCTAGATATACTATGCTGTAATTAGCCTTTTCTCTAAACCAGTGCAACATCGCTCCATTAGGTAAACCAGTGCAACTTTGTATTTAGACCAGGCTTTAATGTGGAAATGGAAGAACTGAATTTTCTCAATCCAGTCTTGGGTATTGTTTTTCAAAGATGGCTTTTACTCCTCTTTCCGTTAGCTGTCAGTGGAATGTAGACATAATTTCCACCCTGGATGCTTCCTCTGAAATAGCTAAAACCAATCCAGTCTGCGAACACTCTTGACCAGGGTAGGGGAAACTTTTGAGGTGAGATGAGGCAGTTCAATCTGTTTTAAGTAAAATATGCTATTGTGAATAGTACCTGGGCTCTCAAAGGGAGAGTTGTGAACATGTTTGAAACGGTCATGAGCACCTTCTGTTCTTTCTGGCTAGTTTGGAGGATCTACTTTTTGTTGCAATGTGGGGCACGGTATGGAAAAGGTTGAGAACAGATGGGATAATGTATTTACATAACTCTCTAATCTGTTTATAATTCCACTGTAATTACACAAGAGATGTAAAAGCATTTGAGCCTGGTTCTAAATAGTCTCTTATGGTGTAACCAAAGCTAATAAAAAGGCTTTTTGTTTTGTTTTGTGTCTAGGATTTAGAAGAATTCTGCTTTAAGTTTTGTGTCAACCATTTGACGGAAGTGACACAGACTGCAGCGTTTTGGCAAATGGATGGCCCCCTGCTAAAGGAATTCATTGCTAAAGCCAGTAAATGTGGAGCCTTTAAGAACTGAAACACATGGCTGTAAGTTTTGGGTGACGTAGGGTTGTACCAGTCATAGCTGGTTTGCTGTATTCATGAATAACAGGCTTGTGTAACCCTGCAGGTGAAGAAAAACAAAACAAACCTAATTGATTGCATTATTTTGGGGTTATAAAACTCTATACAGAAACTGCAGCAAATGTTCTGTGTGCTGTATCCATGCTTTTAAAAAAGTGAACTGTTGCAAGAGATGCAAGTTAGAAGGTTAACATTAACTTACATTTGGAGAGCTGGAAATCTTCACGTTGCTGTTTTTGAGTTTACTGTACTTCTGAGGTGGGAAAAATTGAAGCAGGAGGATGGTTTTGAGTGCTGATGAGAGGATTAATCATTTGGTGCCTGGAATTGGGATTTCTTAACTTGATCTGTTGGGACCTCCAGGGAGTTGCAGCAGAGGCTGAACTGAGCCATTGAAACATTTCATGTAAATGTTAGCTCTGTAGAATTACCCTGAAGGAACAAACAGGACTGATTTCTTTTGTATTGTGGTTGCATGATTATGAATTTGTGACAATTTTGCTATGTATAAATAATCAAATGTATTCAAGGCTTAGAGGAAACTGCAGAAAAGATAATGTTGCTATAAAATATACTCAGAGAAAATTTACTAATTGAATTGGAAGTAAAGCTGCTCATCGGTGATACCTTAACATGCAAAGGGCAACATATAATCTAGATGTTCAAACATTATTTATAATAGTAATCGAAAGACTTATTGCCCTGTTTTGAGGGCCAAATCAAGTTAATTAGGCTATTCTAAATAAAAGGGGAGAGAACTGTTGGGAAGTTATTGTTTTTTGCATTGGAGTATTGTATAAAAACTTTAAAATTACATGTAATAAAATTACACTTTTTTTCAAATTGTCCACTGTAAACTCTTCTGACTTGAAGGAAATGTCATATCTTTTATTGCATCTACCACAGAATAAAGTTACAAATAGTGTGGCAAATGTGTATTGACAGAATCCAGTCCCAATCCAACTCTATATGCCAAACAAGCGGTGTTACACTTGCAATCCGTACGTCAGGAAATAGAAGAGAATTTATCCACGTACGTACTTGGCCTGCATCAATGTAATATCGGTCTCTCTCAAATGTCAATGAATTTATCATGACACTCCTATGAGGTATGGGCTTCCCTTAAGTGTTTGGGAAGTGCCTAGCACAGAGTGGATGCTACTGTAAATAATTAAAAATTGTAGGAAAATACGCCCATTTCTCAGAAGAACTTAGGCACAGTAACCACCTGCCCATGGTCACACAAGAAGAATGTGGCAAAGCAGTGAACCCAGAGCTCCAAAATCAGAGTTTCAGTGCTTTAACCACAGAACCATCCTTCCTCTCTGATTTACGACAACTCTCTTGCATAGCGTGGCAGAGATCAGTATGCCTGGTTTTTATCATTATTGTTATTCCAAAGATTCTTTGGAATGTGATATTTTGCATTGTGGATTCTTCTTCTAAAGTAATGCATTTAAGTGCCTCAAAGAATTTATTTTGCAAGCCAAAAGCAAAACAAACAGTTCAGAGAACCAATGTGAATTATAGTACTATAAAAAGTTGGTTTGGGAGGGGCAGAGATGGAATGAAAGTTTCCTTTAGAGGACAATCCATTCAAGTGTTACAGCAATAGAAAAATCTACACTATTGACTAAGACAGGAAAGAGAGTTGTAATTGGACTTAGCCCTGGTCTACACTACAAAATTACTTCAGTATAACAGCGTCTCTCAGGCGTACGAATAATCCACACCCATAAGCAACATTGTTATACTGACCTAAGCAACGTAGTTATACCAACCTAAGCACCAGTGTAGACAGCACTATATTAGCAGGAAGAGCTCTCCCGCCGCCGTAGCTGCCCCCTCTCGTGGAGGTGGAATTACTAAACTAATAGAAGAGCTTTCTCCTGGCAGCTTAGAGTCTACATCAAAATCACAATAGCACCACAGCTGTGCCGCTGTACATTTGTAGTGCAGACCTGCCCAGAGATTCCAGTTTATTTAGATCACTTGTGGCTTTGTCTTAGTTTTATTCCCTATCGGACAAATGTGTACCCCATTAACAGTTTGGGTCTTTCTTCCCACTCTAGTGGCTATTCTGCATAGAAAGTTTGAATCGGTTTCTGCCAAAAGTGTGCAAGTCCTTTAGTTCAAGCAATAGAGGCTCGTGCTTTTAGATCTAGTGGGTCCGGGGTTCAAGCCCTGCTGACAACCTACCTCTGGGTTTTGTGATCTTCCTATGGATTGATGGGGGAAAACCAGTCAGTCTTTGGGGGAGAGGGGTAATTGGCTTGTCTTTACTGCTTCCTGAATAAAGGCAGCCAGTCAGAGCTGCCCCATCTTTAGTTTTAATTGCTTTTAGCTTGGGGGGAGGGGTGAATATAATGGCATAAATATACTTAGTGGATGATACCAAGCTGGGAGATGTATTAAGCACATTGGAGTACAGTATTAGAATTCTAAATAATTTTGACAAACTGGAGCAATGGTCTGGAATAAATAGGATGAAATTCAATAAGGACAAATGCAAAGTACTATACTTGGGAAGGGATAATCAATTGCACACATACAAAATGGGAAATGACTGCCTCAGAAGGAGTACTGCAGAAAAGGATCTGGGGGCCATAGTGGATCACAAACTAATTATGAGTCAACAATGTAATACTATTGCACAAAAAGTGAACATTATTCTGAGATGTATTAGCAGGAACATTGTAAGCAAGACATAAGTAGTAATTCTTCCACTCTATTGAGCACTAATAAGGTCTCTGGTGGAGTATTGTGTCCAGTTCTGGGCACTACACTTCAGGAAAAATGTGGACAAATTCATGTAGGTTGCTGGGAGCTGACTCAGTTCAACACATTCCACTTGGTTGCGGTATTGTACCTGGGGATTCTCTATTCTACTAAAGAATCTCTAATCTACTAGACCGCCCAACAGAAACTGAGCATTTGGATTAGCTATAGAAATGGTAGATGATGCATCATCTACCAAGGAAATGCAAGGACTGTACAAGATTATCACTAGCTCAAACTAACCTGATCCCATTTCATTCTTCCTTCCTAGCACTTCTGATTTGCAAAAAAAAATGAATACATTAACATGAAATTGAGATAAAGGATATTAAGATTAGAATTGTAATACACCTGTTGGAACAATTTGAATTTGTTCTCTATAGTCTGAATTGCATCTGTTTGGCTGGTAGGGACTCCCTACTCCCATATCCAGTGGATTCTCGCCATGCTTTCAAACTTCAGTACTTCACTTGATGTAAAGAGCCACAAAGAAATGTCTTAAAAGTGAATGTAATAACCCCGTTCACCCCATGTGCCCTTTCACACCATGATCTCAGAAGTGCTTTACAACCCATTAACTACTCTATGTATTACAGCATAAGGGAGGTAAACTAAAAATTATTATTTTTCAGATAGGAAAACTGAGACGCAATGAGGTTTAGTGACTTGTCCAAGGTCAACTGCCCAGTCAGGAAGAGAGGTGGCTAGGCTATCTGGGATGTGCTGTAATCACTTGGAAATGTCCCTACTTAGCCTGTAAAAGAAACAGGAGAAAAGGTGGGTTTCTAGACTGAAATGGTGAGACCAAAATTCTAAACTTAAGGGAAACTCTAGCCATGAAAGTCAATGTTTGTATGAGGGGTGATTTCAGTTCAATTATTGTGCCCTGGTTTAGGCACCAATAGATGTTTGAGGGTGAGGCATTGGCAAAGACTTCTTCTCCACCAAATTTTGTATATACTTTGATTAGCTGAAGCTCTCATTAACTTCCTCTTTTCCCTGTGAGGTCAGAGCCCATCTTACTGCCACTGAAGTGTTGCCATCATCTTCAATGGGAGCAGAAATTGCTAAAGCGCTAGAAAACCTCAACTCAAGCCAGGTGCCACGTCACTTGGGATGCTTCCTCTGATCTCTACATGAACACAGAACAAAGACCTTCTAAGACATTCTTCATCGAGGATGTGCTTATGTCCATTCCAGGGTAGGGGTGTGCTCACCCCGAGCACCGCCACCGGAAAGTTTTCCCCTCAGTGGTCTCCATTGTGCTGGCTCTGGTGTCCCCTTGAGTCATGCGCTCATAGCACCAGTATAAAAGACTCTGCCGACCCACTGACACCTCAGTTCCTTCTTGGGTTGCTGGAAGTATGACTCATTCTTGCTGTTGGAAGTACTCCTCAGTCAATTTTTCTCTACTCTTATTGTATGTAGTTGATTGTACTTAACAACAGAAACTTAATTACTAACAAGGCTCCTAACTAAATAAATAACTAAATGGGGTTAACCTCCAGCACGGAGGCATTCCTCAGTCTGTGGGTTTCAAGCCTTGGGAATCTTATTACAAGCCTATGCCTGTGCATCACCCCCATTCCAGCTGTCTCAAGTGTCTGGGGGAAGCTCATGTGTGGGAGCGGTGCAAGATCTATAGGGATTTGATTTGATGCACCAAGAAGAATAGAGATGCTAGACTCTGCTCTATACTCCTGGAGGCAGCATTCCGACCTCCATCCGAGCCGGGCCACTCGGATTTGGCACCAAGTACCTCGGCCTAGGTAAGAAGTGCCCCAGCTTCACCTCAGGATGCCTGGTGCCATTAACCATCTCCAGCCCCAAGGCGAGATGCTCCAAACGCACCTAAGGAACCTCAGCACTGTCAGTCATCCCCGGTGCTGAAGAAGGATGTGCAGGTGAAAGAATCTTGGCACCATTCACCATCGCCGGTGCCTAGAAAGAAGCAAAGGAAGACCTACAGAGGCTGGTCACCTATACTGAGGTTGGCAGGACAGAGAAACACTACCAATGTGTAACCCACGTCTGGCCACCCTGTAGCATTGACAACCCGTGCCGCACCATTGACTCCAGTCCTGGAACAGGAGCCGTTGAGTCCAGCGCCGAAAGACTCTCCGCCACAAGGGAGGCACCAGGCCCTACAACTCTGCCGATACTTTCAATGCCGGTGGCAGGGGACTTGTGCTACTGGTGCCAACATCCCTGGTCATATGGGAGCTGTCAATAGTGGCACTGATGGGAAAGACTTCTGCAGGTACAAGGCCTCAGATAATGTTGAAGGGGAAACCAGCCATGATGGCACAACCCCAGTCCGCTCCCTCCTGGAACCACTCACCAGCACTGGTTGGCACTGCTCCCCCTCAGTCCACACTTTCAAATTTCACTACACCATCATTCAACAGGCTAGAGAAGATGCCGGGGTTTTACAGAGCAGTGCTACAGTCTGCTTGTCAGTGAACTCTGAACCCTCCCGCTACATCTGCTTGTGAGTTACCTACATGGGAATGGACATGAGCAAGCACTCGAAGAAGAAATGGTTACTAACCTCCCATAACTGTTGTTCTTAGAGATGATGTGTTCATATCCATTCCAAACCCCCTCTTCCCCCATCCCTCTGTCAGAGTTAGCCGGCAAGAAGGGACAGAGGGATCAGCAGGCCCTACATACCAGTGCGACTCCAGTGGCTACCAGAGCTAACCTGATGGATACTACTGAGGGAAAAACTTTCCAGCAGTGGTGCTCTGGGAGAGCACACACCTACATTCGAATGGAAAGGAGCAACACATCTCAAGAACAACAGTTACGGGTTAGTAACCATTTTTTCTGCCAGTGTTATGAGCCAGGTCCTCTGTATATTGCAGCCAGGAACTGGGCTTCAGAATCTCAGCTTTCCTTTAAAGTGTGTCTGTCTGTCTGTCTTATTCTGGCCTTATGGTTGTCCAGTACTCCTACCAGAAAGGAGATTCTGAGCTGGGCTGCCTGGACAATATTGCAGGAGCCAGGGCCTGGGGAACAGGCAGGCCCACCTGGAGAGCATAGACACTGAAAAACCTGTTACT